CGCAGTCTCAAAACCTTTTCACAATCGTAACAACAATGGCTGTGAGAGGTGTCAATTTGACTGCCATGGAAACAAAATCATTGAAACAAATACAAAGAATTCTCAGCGCTACTTCCACATGAAAAGATTGCAGCCCCTTAAAAAATATTGAAATAGAGAGAATGCCAGCACAAGTGAAAAGGTAGTTGAGACATCTGTGGGCGGATTTTAAGGCGATAGTTGAAAACAACATTTGTAAAGAAGAAAATCATGTAAAAATTTGTTTCCATATCCTCAAAACTATTGTCTTGTTCTAGTGCCCAAATATGTTTCTCCACTGTCACAGAGTTCAACAGTTCAAAACAGTTCATATCCAAAATCAAATTGAACTGATCGTTTGCGTCCACTCTGTCTGCCATTAATGATTCAAATTAGTTGCGAAAAATCCTGCATGATTTAAGACACAACTCTGGTGATGCAAACTACATCAACTACATGGTGCAATCCCAGGGATTGACAGCTTTCCTTTCAAGTTTGCCCAGATGGTGAAATGTCACTTTTTGATGTAGCTTATCAACTTGGTAATGTCACCATTGACAGGGAACAAATTTAACAATATTTTTCGAAAGTTTGCTTGTTCACCGAAAAAGCTGATACTCCCATAGTAAAATTGACTTGGTGATGTCATTGATCAACTTGGTGATGTCACTGATCAATTTGGTGATGTCACGTATCAACTTGGTGATGTCACGTATCAACTTGGTGATGTCACTGATCAATTTGGTGATGTCACTGATCAATTTGGTAATGTCTCATATCAAATTGGTGATGTCACTGATTAATTTGGTGATGTCATTGATCAACTTTATGATGTTATTGATCAATATGGTGATGTCAGGTATCAACTTTGTGATGTCACTGATCAATTTGGTGATGTCATTGATCAACTTTATGATGTAACTGATCAATATGGTGATGTCGCTGATCAATTTGGTGATGTCACTGATCAACTTGGTGATGTCACTGAACAATTTGGTGATGTCACTGATCCATTTGGTGATGTCACTGATCAATTTGGTGATGTCACTGATCAATTTGATGGTGTCACTGATCTATTTGGTGATGTCACTGATCAATTTGGTGATGTCACTGATCTATTTGGTGATGTCACTGATCAATTTGATGATGTCACTGATCTGTTTGGTGATGTCACTGATCAATTTGGTGATGCCACTGATTAACTAGGTGATACTACTAAGCAAGTTGCAAATAAGAGCAAAGAAAACACTACTCGCCATTCACTGACTCCTGCTGAATTCTGTCAACATGTTAGTGAAATAACCTAACCTAATATGATTGTCTTTTCTTGTTATTTGAAAAGCAGAGTCTTGCCTACCAAAGGGATGTGTGCTCTACAATCTGCTTAAAGTTCAACAATTTGACGACCTTGATATTGAGGGAATTTATCCATTGTATTGTAAAATGCAGGAGCAGTTATCAAGAAATCCTACTCAATACAGGTACAGGTTAGATTGTCAAGTTCCAGATTCA